GTGGAGGCACGATGATGGATGAAACATCTAAACGTGGGGAGAGAGACACTACGAACGATTAGATGGTTTAAGGCAAGTAGGGTCATGCCTGCGAAACTAACCTCACTCCAATGGCAGGTGAAACATAGGTCCCTGTCGACCAACGACTGTCTGATAGACAGAACGCGGCTAGAACAAACAGGATTGGCACTCCAATGGTGCAAGATATGTACATCAGCCTTCCCGACTCGAAAATGGCTTGAGGCCATAGAGCACGTGTTTTTGCAATGTCTGGCAGCAATATGGCTATGGAGGCGGTGGGACCGCATATGGAGACAACTGGGCACCTCGCAACCGTGGTTATGAGACTGGAGAGCACTTCTCTGTGAAGCATGGGCTCCAGAACAAGCTTCCCCCTTTGAAGAAAACATGTTCAAAGTTGTTTTCAGGGCAATTATTTGGGCCATCTGGTGGAGACGATGCACATTAGAAATGGAAGGAGTACGCCGGGATGGAATAGAGTTCATCAATTCAATTAAAGAACAAATACAAAATGACATTTCCATTCAATGGGAAAGATGCAAGGAAAAGATCGCATATCTGCATTCTTAACATTTTTAGCAAATACAGAGGTTTTGCACAGACTAGCTGGGTGGGGGGCAAGGGGGTTGGATCGCCAAGGTAACATGGAAGGGAGGGGAGAAGAACTCCGAGGGGGAAAACGAAAAGGAAGGGGAAAGAGACTATCACTTAACTTTCCACGATTGGACAAAAATCAACCCCTCCATCCCACTTCGGCCCCTCTCAAACTTTCGTGATTTTTTTTCCGCTCCCTCTCTTAGCTTTGCTTGAGATGAAATGGTATCGGGGGGTGAGTGGTTGAAGATTTGAATATAGAGTGAGCATGGAATGTAGGCCTGCTCAGTCAATCCCCTGAGTCGAAGGACAATCAATGCTAGTAGGCCCCATGGTCACTAAGACTCACTATTGTCACCGTTCTCATATATTTTCATTTTCTGTACATTTTATGTACTTTCTGTATGTGGGACGTTGTACCCATTTTCCTGCAGGTGATGCTCCCCACCAATAGACGTAGGCTCTCCCCAGGTGCGAGAGGTGTCTGCTCTTATCAGCACCACCAGCACTGGTGGGG